AGCTCGATGTGTCAAAGGCGTCGTTGAAAAAGTTTAGCAATAAGGTTGCTGCTTTGAATTAATCGATGATTGCCTTCTAGCGTCAGATCAGATCAGATCAGCTAGCTAATATAGTGTTTTCTTAATTTCCGAAGGGATTCATTTTAGATGAATTCATTTGAAATCCGAGTGATTTTTTTCTAATACACATGCGAATGTGTAGTTAGAAAATGTAAGTGCATTGGGGATATGGTGATTGATTTTCACTTCGCGATAAATTTAATTCATGGATTGAGCCGTTGAGCTAATGGAATGTTTGTTCATCGAAGAACACTGCTCCAAAGAGCATATTTTGTTTTAATATAGTACATCAAATAACATAGTTAATGAATCTTTCTTTTAAACAAAACTAAAGTCTTTTAACCAATAATGAATAAAATCCTGCACAGCAAACGAGTTTGTTCGTTGCCAATTATTTATTATTAAATTACGTCGTATCTAGTAATGTCCTTCTAACATCAGTACATCTTGATTGATTTGGATGTACTTTGGGAAATATTATGTAGATGACATAAAGAAGGCGAATACAAATATAAATGATCGGATGACAAAATGCATATTGCAACTAATATGATATCGAGATGATTATTCAGGAAACGAATGTCGAGATAGGTGAAAGTGTTCGAGGTGAAGATGTTTATATAATCCAGAGTGCATGCGGTGAGATCAATGACCACTTAATGGAGTTGTTGATCATGATTAACGCATGTAAAATTGCATCGTCGTGTCGTGTGGCGGCCGTTATTCCGTGTTTTCCATACGCTAGACAAGATAAGAAGGTGCTTTTTGGTGGAATTATCCTTTTGATGGTTTATATTTATGAGACGGTTCAAGTTATATCATCTAGCAATATGTTATATCGTAAAGCTGCATCAGTGATTACGTTCCAAAAGAGTATTTTGCCGTCCTGAACTGAATTTTTTCATAATCATATTTCAGTGATGCTCAATAAAATCAATTTGCAGAAGAATTAGTCGATAATGATAACTTTTTGATTGCAGTGATTTAATGTCATATTGATGCACTCATACCAGTTTGATTGATTCGTTAATTGTGTTCGATGGTATGAAAGTGGAAATAATGCAGTGATTTAATTTTGAAGGATAAGTCACGTGCACCGATAAGTGCGAAACTGGTCGCGAATATGTTGTCTGTAGCGGGTGCAGATCATATTATCACAATGGATCTACATGCATCTCAAATTCAAGTACACTTACTCATCTTAANGCTTATTTTCCAAAGTTGTATTGTATTTTATATTCATATTGTTTTATTTCTAATATTTTTATTGCTTTATTTCCTAACGTTTATTCATGCTGTTTGCTTACTGAACTTATGTAAATGCGATGCGCATCTGCTCATATTGTTTATTTACTTATTTTTTGTGCCGTAAGCTATTGAGAAGCGTTTGTAATTTTCGAATGCACCAAGTTCAGTCGCTGATAAAGCCAGAGAAATGATGAGGAATTTGTTATGTGGTGAACTGCATAGGGTTTTGTTGACATGTGATCTCCAACCTTGATCATCCGATCAGAGTTTGTAGCAAAAGTTATCCCAGCAAATATCATATTGACGACATTCGTTCTCTTCAAGAGCAGTTATTCATTGTACGATAACTTTTGATTTTTGCTAGAATCAGTCAATGAATTTGTTTTATTTGAAGGGTTTCTTTGATATTCCGGTGGACAATCTGTATGCCGAGCCCGCAATTCTGAAATATATCAAGGAGTCAATTCCGAACTGGCAAAAAGCTGTTATTGTATCACCAGATGCGGGCGGTGCTAAAAGGTGACTGATTAACGCTTATTCGATTGGTGCATTTTTTAAATTATATACATTCAAATCATATGGTGAGTCAAACGTGTGCATATTATTATTATTATTGTTGGTTTTAGAGTGACGTCGATAGCAGATCGTTTGAATGTTGATTTTGCGTTGATTCATAAGGAGAGAAAACGAGCGAACGAAGTGGAAAATATGACGTTGGTTGGTAATGTTCACGAGAAGGTGAGTTGTTCGTTACGGTATATTGGTTTTGTAGTTTGGGGTGGTGAACGGTTTNAAGATTTATTTACCACAGTTGATTGACAATTCTCAATGCTGTTTTCAAAATTTAACGCAAAAATGATTTCATTTACAAAAAAGTGAATTTTATTTGTCCTCAATTATTTGTAAGTTTCACTGTTCATTCCATTGACTGGAATGTGAAGGGAACTCTGAATTATACGAATGTTTTGAGATTTGAATTCTTTCTTTCAGTCTCACATATAAATCATAGTGCTTAAATTTGCAAAACAATTTTCATCCAGTTTCTGCCGTTTATTCGTAATGAAAATATCTGTTCAGTGTTCATCTCATACGATATGAGGGGAGCTTTTGTAAATATTTCGTTCATCGTTAATTTTTATACCGTCCAGAATTCGTCCCATCATCTTGAGACGTAATTCTCCTCTGAAAGAGAATGTTGCTCATAGCGAACTCAAGTGATTTGAGCAATGAGGCTGTAACCTGTGTTCATATGACCAGTTAATCGACTTCTGTTTCAGGTTGCTATTTTGGTAGATGATATGGCAGATACTTGTGGTACAATATGTCTCGCTGCCGATAAGTGAGTAATTTTGCTTATTTTGGGGGATTTTTTTTACAGTTCATATTGCAGTAAAAATAATACGAGTATCAACGGCTCGAACAGTGCAATGACATTATCGTAATAATAATAATAATAACCAGAATGAGTATAACTCATCACAAAGTGTGACTGCAGTCCAATAAAGATTCAGAGTATTAGAATTGTGAACACGTTATATCTGACGTAATAAGGTGTATCAAAATACTAGGTAATATTGCGGTGGTAGTAATAAAATTGTTGCGGCTAATCGATGAATCATAAAAGTAATTTTTTTTTGAAGGTTAGTTGAAGCGGGCGCGTCGGCAGTGTATGCGTTTTGTGTTCATGGAATCTTCTCGGGGCCAGCAATTCAACGATTAAACAATTCTGCGTTTCAAGCGGTTGTCGTTACGAATACGATTCCTCAGGAGGAAAATATGAAAAAATGTCCCAAAATACAGGTACATCGTTTCATCGTTATTGTGTGTCAATAGAAAAATGATAGAATTGTTGAGTATTCGTTAAATCGGATCTGATCATGTGGTGAAATCTTCTTTCCTCTCGAGCTTGTTCTGCTCAGAGAATGCAGGAGAATTCCGCATTGGCACGATTAGGAGAGCATTTTGGCTCTACCCCTTAAATTCACTAAAGGCTATTGATTTGTAACTTTAAAGATTCAGTCAAAGTTAAAGTTAAACTTGATATTAAAGATTATAGCAACGATGATAATGATAGTAATTTTTAGTGTATCGATATTTCGATGATACTCGCCGAAGCGATTCGACGTACACATAACGGAGAATCAGTTTCATATCTCTTCTCACATGTACCGATGTGAAGCAATAAGCGATCGGTGATGATTGCTTCTCTGTGTTGCTCTCTTCAAAATATGTTTTGTTCGGATTGGCCTATTCGAGTTTCTCAATATATTTAGGTATATTGTTGTCGTTGTGTCTTTAGAAGAACGGTCTTTATCATCACTTTTATCGGTTTCATCTCCGATGCACACTTATGAAATGCGATGTATTTATTTAATAGTTACAATCAATCCATCTTCAGATAACAGCATCTATCGGTTTTTGCTTGTCTTCGTTTTTTTTTTCACATTATGGTTCTCATTTTCGATTTATCTATTTTTTGGTAGGGTTTAGATGGGGGCCATTACCAAAAAATATTATTAGTTTGACAATAGCATCTAATTGCTTTTATTATTCAGTCGATCGGTTTGGTGCGCTGTATGCTCGTATTCTTTCAGCTTGTGAACACTGATATTGGCATATGTATCCAAAAGTAGCCGATATCAATTTCGGAAACAACTCTTATTCGTTGCTCTCAGAATGTTCAGTTCGGTTAGGTGCATGATTTGTAAATTATTTTGGTATAATTTAAATCGATGCTGAGAACAAAATAATCCCTTTAGAGATTTGTTGAGGAGCGTGTTGATTTGTGTGGTTTGCTTATCTCGCACTTTCGAATCGGTTTTCAATGATTAATTTTCATCGAATAATGCACTTAATAATGGATTCATTATCATTTTCACTGAGATTGTCGCTTATTTTTGTTACCGATTACTTTGTTGTTGTGTAGATGAATGTGTGTGAGAATTTGCTCGTTTTCGTTGTGTTCAAATCAATCGAACTATCAAGTTAATCTGTTTAGTTATGGCTATCTGTTTAGTTATGGCTACTGACAAACTCGAAATGACATTTTCACGATTCAAACATTCAATAAGACGATATTATGCTAATCAAATGGCTACTGATCAAAAAGCAGTTAAGCTAAAATACAGAAATAATATTCAGTTTTGTTATTCTATGAAAAAAGATTCCTCTTAGCTCCGTTTCAAGATGCACATTGTGCTAGAGATGCTTACTATTCAAAACATTTGATAGTTGCGTTATGATTGGTGTTTTTATTGCGGTAGAACTGATGTTATTGTGTCATTATTGATGCGATATTGATATTTTTAGTAATAATCAGAGAGATACGTATTATTTGCAGAATCGGATAATTGTTTGCTGATGAGACATAAGATAGTTAAGGCAGTTTGTTTGTTTGGATGGCGATTGTGATACGTGTATTTGGTTAATATTATGTCATGAAGATGTTATCATCAGCCGTGTTCTGAATGATCTGTTTGAGGCCTCGCTGACATGCGACTCACAGGCACTCCGAATCCGGTTCAAGGTGTTCTCCGAGAAGGGGTCATTCTTGAAGTTTAATGTAAAAAACGTGTGCTCAAGCAGTTGTGGATTAGCCAGGCCTAATGTATTTGATTGTTGTGTGTAGTTGAAATGATTTAATTTGATTGTTATTAATTGATTGATGAATGGGTCATTGAAGTTGTTTTNGAACGAGTCTATTGAAGATGCTTATTTGATTTGATTGTTGATCGAATAGTGGTGTTGATTGTTGGAAGAATCGGTTTTGTTAGCATTTTGAAATTCGTAATGTTTCGATTCATTTAGTTGTTTTCATTTGTTTATTCAGTTGTTGATCTGTTGTTTCTTAATTTGTTTATCGATTGCACGACGAGACGACATCAAAAACCGATCCCCTCAATTGAATATACATTTCAATGTTAGTTTCGATATTTTCGCATTCAACAGACTGTCTAAAAGTGGTCGATTATTTTTGAATTGGATTGGGAGTGTACTGTCTGAAACTGTGTGAATTCAAACGGGAGAGCGTTTAGAATTCATTGGAAAGTCGCATGCGGAAAAGAAGCCAGAGATTTAAACGAATCCTCTCTAAAACGTTAGCTGATTCATTGTCAGAGTTTGCAAGTGGTGAAAGTGGGGCATTTTGAGGAATGGAAGAAGCAAATGTATGTTTGTCGACTTCGCTTGCGATCGTCATTGTATTTGTTTGTGTTTGTTCTGCAGATTTTCTATTGTTTTCGTTCATTGATAATGTTTTCGATTCAGTTTGCGGAGAATCTTGAATTTTATTGATTGCAGTAGTGATGGCATCCGAACGAAATTTCAGTTTGGTCAGAATTCGACCAAATGCGAATTTCAGTATTCTGTATGCCGGAATTCCAATTGAAATCCGTCGGATTTTACCGATCGAACTGCGGTCGGTTATCATCACTAGTTCACTGATATTGTTTCTTTTTACGCTTGCTTTACTTTCTCAACGAATGATTGTTTGTTCGGAACACTGAAGTATATTGAAAGTAATTGCAGAGAATTAAACGTTGATTGATTGCCAATGAAGAATGTTTATGTGAATATTAATGGCAACTGTAATGTGTAGGATGGTGATCATGTGGATGATTCGTTATGAATCATTGTCATATTCGACAGCAATTCATCAGTCCATACATATGTACGAATGCGATAAATTCCACTCGTTCAGATTAACTTTTGTTGTTCATTTGATACATTCAAGAGGTTCTTAAAGCAATCCTCATCGATACGGTCTGCTAGTGCTGGTTTGATATTCCCGTTATAGAGCTGTTTTCTTACTTATAATATATGTTTTCAATAGATGTATGAAACGTTGAAGCTAAGCGACAGCTCCGTATGAAACTTACCTCTACCAGTCTCATAGGGTTGCTACAAATACGTTCCATAAGAGAGGCAGAATAGTACAGGTGAAGGTTTAAGACTATCGTATCATTTTATTATATTGTGCAAATCAGTATGCCAGCAACTTGATTATAATCAATTGCGATAGCAATACTTATTCTGTGTGATGGAAAAGCTGATGAACAAAGCGGATATCATGTTTCATATAAATTGATCGAGCATTTAAGTGGCTCCGAAAATGTTCCATTTTGCAGACGATTAAAAGCGGTGATGTTTTGATAGTATGCTTGCCGATTCAAAGTTTATTTTCATTTGAAAATAACCAGCAAGTGGCGCAGCACACCTCAATGAGAGTATTCAACAATGATCTAGCGGTTGTGAAGTAATGGAAATACGTGAACATTTTAATGGATGCGTAACATTCTTTATTTATAGATCAACTAGAATGAATGTACACTAGCGATTTAAGGATCTCAATTTTCCCGGAAGTTTTATATTTTATCCTTCTGTCTCTACACATCCACTTTCGTGCATTCATACAGTTGTTCACCTTCATTGTGCATCGCTATCGACTATTTTCATTTAACGAAATACACAGCAATCAATCGGAAATGATTCAATAATGACGGTGGTATTATGAACGATAACGATTGGGATTAATGTCATTTAACAGCATTTTTCCCGCATTAATTCAGTTAAATTAGAGGTTTAGATTGTGTACTTCTTTTGCGAACTAAATCCGCAATTAGCGATGTGAACGGTAGTGAATGTCGTTGGTGAATAAATTTTCATAATAATTTCCCCATTCGAGAAGAAAACCTTCACAAGAGCACGTTACAGATCAGTGTTGTGTAAAAGAAGTTATCGTTTTCTGAATCTCAAATTGTTTTCGATGAATTCT